GCCGTGAGTACTGGCAAGTGCCAGGCACTTCACTGAGCCCCTTTACTTATTAATCCACTTAACCTTCTGAGTCACTGGCAGGCGGGCCCTAATATCCATTCCAAAGATAAGGCAAGGGCAGTTCATGGAAGTCAAGTCACTTAGCCTCTGAGTGCTACAGTCAGGATTTGAACATAGGCAGCTCGGTACAGAGTCCATACTCGAACCATTAAACAATAAGGAAATACAAAGATGCAAAAGCCAAGCTCTGCTAACCAGGTCCCTCCAGAGAAGATAAGAAAGAGTTTGTACTTCTCTGGCATTGGTTACCTGCCCCACCCCTACTAAGCAGATCCTTTTTCTTCTGATTAGTCAAGAACTCCAGCCCTGACTCCCTTATCTAACTGGAAATCCTTCCCCTTTGGCACAGCGTGGACTCCATGCTTTCTAAAGAGTTACTAGCTCTGCAGTGGGGCGTGGTGGTGCATGCCTGTAATCCCAGCTCTAGGGAGGCTGAGGCAGGAGGGTTGCTGCTAGTTTGAGACCAGCCTGGGCTACATAGTGAGTTCCAGGGCAGTCTGAACTACACAGTGAGACCCTGTCTCAAAATAAATAAATAAATAAGAGTTACTAGCTTTGCAATCAGCCTAGTCCACTGTGCAAATTCAAGGTCTCATCAAACCTGACCACAGGGCTGGATTGCACCAAGATTCCATCACTCTCCTGCAACAGGCCCTCCCTGAGCAATCAGAAAAACACAAATGAGCTACACCTTGACCTCGAGGAACACACAGGCCAGAAGGAAAAAGTAGCTATGTAAATGGATCTCTAGGATGCCCTGGACAGTGCTAAAATTAGAGGTGTGCGCCCAGCAGTGTGAGCACACGTGTGTCAGAACGCTTCACCCATGGGTGGAAAGGAGGCTGAGTCCTCCCCCAAGCTGTTCCTCACAGAGACAGTTCAGGAATGGGCAGGAAGGAGTCAGGAGTACTGCAGCCAGGAGGAGGAGACCAGGAAGCCCCGGCCAGGTTGCCTAAAGTCTTATTCATATTATTCCTATTCACTCCCTTGTTCAACTCCCTTCCGACCCTCCAATGGCATGAAGGAGAGAGTCCGTCTTGGTGCCAGTTTGTCTCTAAGCAGAGTGAGCATTGGGATCACAAAACTTGTAACCACATCTCGCTGGGTATCCTAACATTGTCTCATCTTCCCTGTACTATATTACTTTAATGGGTATCTGCTCTCTGTGATTAGAGGTACTGGTTTCTCATAGGTAGTAGTGGTAGAACATTTCCTTTAAAAAAATCAACCGAAGCTTGAGAATTATATCAAGTTAATAAATATATTAGAGGGCCGGGTTTGGCTCAGTGGTTCAGCCACCTGCCTTGAAAGTTCAAGGGCCCAAGTTTGATTCTCTGTAGACAGAAAGCAAGAAAGCAAAGAAAGAAAGAAAGAAAGAAAGAAAGAAAGAAAGAAAGAAAGAAAGAAAAGAGAAATATATTAAATTGGTCAGGCATGGTGCTGTATGCTTTTAATCCCAGCACTTAAGAGGCTGAGGCAGGAGAATCACTGCAAGTTTGAGGCCAGTCTGGGTAACATAGTCCAAGGCTGGCCTCAGCCCTGCGCTTAGTGAGACCCTGTCAAAAAAAAAAAAAAAAAAAGGAAGGGAGAGAGAAAGAAAGATTACAATTGATATTACCTCTATACAGCTCTATACAGAGTGACTTAACATCAAAACTTTAGGACTGGGGATGTAGCTCAGTGGCAGAACATGTGCCTAATATACATGAGGCCCTGGGGTCAACCCCAGCACCACATAATAGAATTAAAAAATACAATGCCTATGCAAAAACAAGCAATGCGATTCTATGCTGCTGGATATTCCCATGACATTGTCCCCACTGGGAAGGGGAGGGGACTGAAGAGTGCAGGGGAGGACTTTTGGTTTCCACTGAGTGACCTGGGAGCTGGCTATGCACTGTACTGCCTTTTTGAAAACTCTCAGAGCCATACACACCACGCAGGTGCATTCCTGTATTAGTTATATATTCATACAGCCTTTAACCCCACAATTCCACCACCACAACTTATCTGCAGACATGCACACATGTGCAAAGTGACATAACGAAACCCACTGTGCCACCCGCAGTAGCAAAAGGTCAGAAACAACTTCAGCATTCCCCAGCTCGAGCCAGGTTAAGTAAATTTTGGCACAGTCTAGAATGAAGGCTATGCAGTCAACAAACTGGAAATGGCAGCCCTGGCAGATTTCCAAATTTTACAAGGATTTGAGTTTAAGGGAAAGGGGGCTGGACATATGTGTGCACAGTGTGCTACCTTAAGCGAAAAAAAAAGAATATATGCTATACATACATGTTTGTGCCTAGGACCTCCCTGGCAGAGGCTATCTCGGAAAGGATCACAAGAAACTGGGTCCTCTGACCCTCTGGGCATGGCAAGTGAATAAATTGTGTACTTTGTGTATCCATTCCCTACAATAGCAATTCTGCAGGTAAAGCCTTAGAGAAGGTACCTGGCTATGGTAAATCTTACAGCCCCTCCAAACCCAAAGGCGAAGATGAAAGTGTGAGCACTCTGGGCTTATAATGCAAGTAAGCCTTGCCCCTACCCCTCCTCTTGCCTGTGTATAAAAGGGGCTTTTTATAAAGGGCCTTCCTGTAAATGGTTTCCAGTTAACAGCACACCTGGTCCAGAACAAGCTACTTAACTCACACAGAGTCTCTGTCCTGCAGCTACTCTATGGCACCTGGAGCTTCCCTGACAGCGTTGGCTGAGTTCTTGGCATGGGTGGGGAGATGTTTAAGCAGAAATGCTTCCAGGGATGGGAGTAAGGCTAAATTAAAGGAAGGATTCCAAGTTCTGAGTCCTGCTCTGCCCTCAAAGAAGCAAAGCAAGGGCCAAGAGGTGGGCTTCTCTGGGGCCTGCAAGGCAGGGACAGCACAAGGTTTTGGAAATTCGAGTTTGGTTTGATTTAACTTCACAATTAACCTAAGTATTAAACTCTTCTCATGCATTCTCTTGCTTTGTTTTTAATCCTAAAAAAAAAACCAGTGAGGGGCAGGGCAGGGTAACTGTTTTTTGCAGATGAGGAAATAGAGGTGAGGGGAAGTGAAGAGAGCAGCCAGTGGTTATACTCCGATGGAAGGGGTGAAGCCTGAAATGGAACCCATTCCTGCCCACCCAGAAACGTTGCCTTTCCTTTCAACTCTGACTCCTGAGAGAAGACACGGCAGGCTAGTCAGGGCAGACAAAGAATCCCTGGGAACTAAAAGGACCAATGAGACCATCTAGTGCAGCGGTTTTCAATTCTGATTGCACGCTAGAATTACCTGGGGAGCTTAAGTAAATTTGAATAAATACTTATGACAGGGCACAGGAACGTGTAGTATTTTTTTTTCAAACTCTCTGATTCAGATGCAACTTTGCATGAGAAGCACTGAGTTATAGCATCCAGCACCCATCCCAGTCCCATATACAGCATAACCTTTGGCCTCCCTGCAGCCTCCACCAGGGGTCCTGTCCCACCCTCCAGCCCCCAGATCAACTGCTCATCTCTCTTCCACGTTACCTGGAGGCAGAGAATTGGACTGGAAGCTAAGAGTCTCCTAGGTGGAAAAGTCAGTTCTGAGGCCCAAAACAGGGGTGTGACTTGGCTAAGTGGATCAGTAGCCCAGCAAATCAGGATTTCCTGACCACCAGTTGGGGTCATGCCCACAAAGGGATCATCTGAGGGCAGTACCCTGGGAAATCCAGCAGCTCCAGATACCAGAAGAGATCCAACAAGGGGCCGAGGAGAAAACCAGGACAAAGTGTATTTTTCAGGGGACATAGGGTATAAGTGACACCCTAGGAGACTCTGGAAGTCCACCTTTGTGGCACACCAGGCACAGAGGGCTATTCCATAGGGACAGGGGTGGAGCTGGCCTGCAGAAAGATGTCCTCATTCCTAGGCTAAGGCCAGAAAGTCTAAAATGCCCTTATAGAAATGCAGACTCTTGGGGCTGCTTACAAACACCACGTGGGTCCAGATTCCTCACCCATAATACCGGGTCAAGCTTCTTGAGGTCTTTGATAATCCCCATGCTAAGCACTGTACTCGGCCTAATCATTTAATCTCCACTTACACCCTAAAAGGTGAAAATAATTATCTCCATTTTCAATTGAGGAAACCAGGGCCGGGGATTTAGCTCAGTGGCTCCACCGCCTGCATTGCAAGCGCAAGGATCTGAGTTCGATCCCCGGTACCTCCCCCAAAAAAAACAAAAACAAAAACAAAAAAAACAATCAATTGAGGAAACCATAGCCCAAGGACACGAAAGACCTTCCCCAAGATTATTCAGTGAAAAAGTGATAGCTGTAGGATTCAAAGCTTAGTTCATTCAGCTCCAACTTCTAGCATCTCATTCCTCAACGTGGGAGGAGAGGAGAGTCCAGCAACAGCGGAAATAGTAACTGGACACCTAGGAGTGGCCAGAGACATGGTCTAGTGGAATCACCACCCTACAGAGAAAGCACGGGCATCCTTCTTCCACCAAAGAAGAAACCAAGACAGAGGGGAAGCATCTTGCCCAAGGACACAGGCAAGTAGTAGCGGGACTAGACTCGGAACCAGGATGTCCCCATCACAAAGCCAGGCCACTTCGTTGCAGGCTGGCAGGGAAGCAAACAGAAATATCCTGTAGGGGTTGGGGGCGCGGCCAGCACCATAACCACGTCCTGCCCAGCCCGCCAGTCCCCGAGCAGGGACCACCTCGCCCCCGCCAGCCGCACACAGGTGAGCTACGTGGCACTCGGTGGGCACTGGGCTCAGAGCCCTCCCGACGAGACAGGTGAAATTCGAGCTGAGCAGGGACCGCCAGGATTTCCCAGGGAGAGCAGGCCGCGCGCCCCGCGTCCTCCGGAGAGTGGCTAAGTCGTCACCGGCCCCGGTCCCAGATGGCGGCGACCGAGGGTCGTATCCCACTCCACACCCGTCCTCAGGCCCTGCTGGGGTCACTCACCCAGAACACTGTGGAATAGATGATGAGCGAGAA